TTCTATCTCTATAAGATGATCTAAGCCTTGGACTTTTTGTAGTCATTTCTGATTGGAAGAATTCCTAGGAGATTGTATCGGACTCCTTGAAACCAACTCACAGTAGGACTGGACTGGACAGGTTAGAACACTTATGCGGAATGGAAGAAGTGCAGTTTGGGGCTCAGAGCTTGGGCCGTAGAGTTGGGTTGCCTTTGTCTCTGGCTCCTCGTCACTTGGGTGGCCTAGAGTAAGCTTCTTCCCTCCTCTGTCTGTTTGCTCTTCTGTAAATGGGAATGAAAACAACACTCTCCTCCTGGGGTCGGTACGAGGAGTAAGTGAGTTCAAGTGCCCAGAAAGGCACGGTTGAAGTCCAATCAATATCAGTTATTGTTAGGCCTAGCGTCTTTTTTTTTTTTTTTTTGCCCTTGCTTTACTGTAAGTGGGGCATTTCCCCCGTTTTCAGACTCGTTAAAGGTTTTGTTATGTTATGTTACAGTTCTGTTTATACCCCTCCTCCCAGCTACATTTGTCACCAAAGTGAAGGCCCAGGTCTCTGGAGCCCACTCTCTCAGTGAAACAAGAAGATCAGTGGGCTACTCCCCTTTGAACATAATTAATGTCAGAAGCTCTTCTGTGATAGTTTAAAGTTGTGCGTATTCCCCACACACAATGAGGAATGACTGGCGTCTAAGAGCGCTACCCCTCTGCCACCCACTCCTTCCCCTGTGGGGACCCACAGCCAGGTGGGAGTTTTCAGAGAACTGGAATTCACTTATGAAACACAAAATGGATCAAGTTGTAGGCCAAAATGGACTTACCTTCGTAATGTTAGCAGCACTAATGGGGCCTAGGAAGAGATCTTAAGGAAGATGTAAATAGTACTCTTTAAATGCCTTCAAAAGAGCGTCCAGTGTCTTTCTCATTGAAAGACTTAAAATCCAAGAATTTGCAGTTTGCAGTGTCTTATACTAACAAGACAGTTAGTTAAGCAGTTTTAATAGATCTTTGTTCTTCTGTGGGTTTTTATTTTTATCTTGACAAGCACCTCATACTTTTTTCACTCTCATTAGTCCCTTCCCAGTCGTAGGTGTTCTTGCTCCAAATAATCTATTTATGTTTTAAGGAGAGATAAGGAAGGATGATGAAAAAATTCTGATGATTGCTGAACACGCGAGTGGTTTCTGCAGTGGCCAGTTGTACCACATTGCGTAGCTTTTCAGATCTGTCTGCAGAAGGGTAGTTCATAGCAAACATTAAGCAACGCTTGGAAGTTCTCACCAGTTTACCTATTTGTTTACTCAAAATTCATTCTACAGAATAAGTTAGTAAGTGATGTTATTAGGAGAAATACTAGTGATTCTTTAAGGTATGTTTGAATAGTATTCATGTCAAAATTTAAAATAAGAATTTACTTAGAAAAATATTTAAAATTGGACTATCCCAATAAAAAATAAGCTTTTACTTGAAAACTATAGAATGTTAAGGTAATGCAGTTTATTCATTTAAAAAACTTTTAAAATATGAATTTAAAATATTTGTAACAGCTTAATAGTTACTTTAAAATCCCCTGCCACCCCCAGACTCCTCAGTTCTGACTTCTAAAATAAGTTTTTTTAATTCTGAAGTTTAAACTTACTTTCTTCAGTGTGAACGTGTCCAAGTTCATTTTCTACCTGGTCAAAGACACTGCGCTCCTTAACCTGTCAGCGGCTCAGCAGAGCAGTCTGGCTGTGTTATTTGGTGTCTTGTGTGACGTGAGGAACGGTCCAAAGGAAAAGATATTTAGCAAATTGGTGCCACACTTCAATAAATAGAGACATTTTATTTTTCACCAAGCTAATTCAATCCAGTTCAGTTAACACTTTCTTCCCCTGTAAGGACAGATCAAAAAAGCAGCCATGAATGAGTGAGTCTGTCATGTGCTGGACACGTCAGTGTGTGGCTAGAAAGCCAAGCCACGAGGGAGGGGTTCTGCCTTTAGATTTCAGACAATGCCCCACACAATGGCCCTGTCGGCGGACATGGCTGGGGACTGCTCAAGTGTCAGAGGGCTCCTCTGAGTGCTCTCAGGTAGGATGGGAACCAGAGGGTCTCTGTGGCGTCCAGCGCAGCTGTCAACCTTTACCGTGGCCACCTTCTCGGTTCCACCTTTCTAACGGTCCCCGACGTGTTTCAGGTTGTTACTGAGTCTCTGTAGCTCCAGAGGGTACAGCAGTGGGGTGCCTTTACTTTATGACTTTGACAGAATCCTTGTCCTAAATGTCTGTTTCTGAAAAACCCTTATCAACGTAAATATAACACTAGCATTTCTATTTCTTAGTTCAGTAATTTCTGCCCCAGACATAATGAAATATACACAGTCATCATATTTAGTCTTCAAGGACGGGACGGGACGGGTTATGCTGCTGCACAGGAAACCTTTAGAGAACGTTCATGGAAGGGGATTCAAGGTGCGAAGAAGTTGCCTGTGGCTCTGTGATGAGGTGTAAGAGCCTCATCTCGGCGTCAGAACCCTTCCGGGCTGCTTCCCCACGGCTGCCTTGGGTTCCAGTCCCTGTTGTCCAGCGATAACACTGCTGCCCTGTGGCCAGGCTGTGCCCCGTGTCTTCAGTGTCCTCTGTCTCTGGCCTGCCAGCTGATCCTTCATGTCATTGACAACCCTACCTTTTCCTCGACCAGTCGTCATGGTAGAGCACGTCTTCCTCCAAGTGGTCAGAACGTCTCACTCTCAAGAGCGTCGTCCCGACCTCCCCCCGGTGCAGCTGGACTGCGCGCTTGCCCCCCCACCAGGGGAGGCGCTCTTTCTGATTAATCCACGTGTCCTGTGTGTGCACAGTGCAGCCCATGCTCACTGTGCGCAGGGATGGAGGCCAGGGCTGCGTGTCACAGACGGGAAGACAGATGCCAGAGCCAGACACGCCCACCAGCACCAGTGGGGTGACGCCAGCAAGCTACCACGCCGCTTCGTGGCTCATTCCTTATTCCGGAAATGAAGATCTTACCTGCTTCCAGGGCCATAAAGATGAAAAGAGTTAATTTGGGGAAAATGTTTTGAACAGTCTAAGTATGTTGTAAATGTTTATTACATAAAATAAATGATTGAACCCGTGCTGTCTGCCATGTACCGTGCTACGTGTTTTACGTGTTGTGAACTAATTTAATCTTCACTGTTGCCTCGTATGGTAGATACTGTTGCCATCCCCACTTTACAGATGAACGAGCCCAGACAGTGGAAGTTAAGTAACTTGCTCAAGGTCACACAGCAAGTACAGGGCAGAACCAGGATTTGAATGCACACTTCCTGGTACCAGGGCCCTCAACACCTCTCTGCTGGTAACCATCGTGTCTGTGAAACCTGAGTGTCAGTCACTTTGTCCTAGAGATTATCACAGTCAGATGGAGGGAGATGCAGCAGAATGGGTTTCCTGGCTGTTGGAGAACAGCGAGCCGTGAGATAATGGCGAAAGGAGAGATTGGTCCCCCCGGCCCCAGGTGCTGACCGCCTGGATGGAGAATGTGAGAGAATGGGAACCACATGTGTGAGCAGCTGCTCCCCTGGCGCCCTGGGCCGAGGTGTACTCTGTGATAATGTCTTTTTGGATTTTGTTTTTGTTGTTTGCGTTTAAGCCACTGTTTTTGTCTGGCTCTTGAGACCTTGCTGGTGCAGCAATCTAGCCCGGGACCATACGGAACACAGTAAAAATGGCGAGACACAGGGAAGGAGAACGCATCAGCTGCCTCTGCCCATACATAGTGCATTCTAGGTATTCAAAACGTGTTTCATTCCCTTCTGCCGCGTCGCCCAGCTATACTGAAGTCTTAGCTGGAAAAGGTCAGCCGCCAGTTCAGAGAGCTCGCACTGCAAATCTTAGCCATAACGCACGAAGCCTGGGATATCAGAGAGATTCTTCTGAGGTGGCTGTACATGGCATGTATGCTTTGTAGATTTACAGCTTGGGACATGTACCTGCAATAATAGATTATTTTCCAGACCTCATATCTAGTATCCAGACTTTTTGCGTGCACAGTCAGAAGTTTTAAAAGTGAATTTCTTCAAAGGATTCCAATTATTTAGCTGATAAAGCACAGATAATGTAAAAAAAAATTTTTACTGTTAAGTCTTTGGAGGAGGTATAAAAAGGTTCCTAGGACAGAAATGCTTTGTAGAGGTTATAATGGCTAATACTCTTAAGTGCAGGGTAAAAATTAAACTTGAATCGCAATGATGAAATGTTTACTCATCAGATGGCTTTGAAGTTTAGCTTCTTTTTTGGTTGCGGCCCCTCCTAATGGACTTGTTTCGCGGAAGAAAATGATTACAGCCCTCAGCTGTGATGTTTCTGTACTCTCTCTGGAGAGGAAATCCATTTTTTTTTTTTTTTTTGGTCCATTTGGGTGTTTGCATTTTGAAGACCAGCTACTTAGAAATCACATTCATTACAGAGATGGTTCTGACCACTGTGAATGTGTTCTCACTGATAGGCTAGTGTTTAAAAGGTACTTTTTCTAGTACCTATAGAATTTTTTGAAAAGTTTGCTTTAACTCTGTTATGCTACAATCTTTCCAACTTAAATTTATTCTTCATCATTTTATATCAGGAGGCCTAAGGTGAGTGTGTGCGTGTAAAATGAATAATAGCGTTACAAAACTGAGTTTTGGGAGATAGCTCAATGGGTAAAATGCTTATGTTTAAAGCTATGCAGAAACTACATATTTAGAGGTACAATTCTTCAGTTCTGATAATAACTAAGGGGTTTTTCTTCAAAGTTTAAAAATTGTAGTGGCTTTAGAATGTTGAGTAGGTACTGGTTTTCTTCTAAACCCTGGATGAAATTCCACTCATCTGGGTGATTTCCACTCATTCTAAATCACTCAGATAAGTGGAAATTGTTACTGAAATGTTGGTTAACAATTAGAAATTGTTACTGAAATGTTGGTTAACAATGTTCTGTTTTTCGTCCCTCCCATGTGGACTATGCTACATTTTTAACATTTGTGTTTGTCTTTTGTTGCTCAGTTTTCCTATGAACCCGACAAGCAGTGAAGACCTCAGGAAAATTCCGGTAAGTTGTGGAGGGGTGTAGAGGACAACCGAAAAACAAACCACAAGTCAGCCTCTGTCCAGCGTCCATTTCTAAAAAGGCCTCCAGCTCCTCGAACCCTTCAGTTACCTGCAGGTCATAGCTCAGCGTGGTCATTTGAGGAGAAAGAAGAAAAGCGAAATTTAGTCTTTATTTTCAATATAAGATAGGTTGTGACTTCCATACAATTTCTGGAAGTTCCGGTAAACGTAATTGTAATTGACAACTGCTTAGAGTTTACACATTTTGTTTGCAGACTCTTTTCAAATAAATAGGGAAGCTGTACATCAAGGTCAGAATTATAGTTATGAAATAAGAGCATGTGGAGAAAACGAACATTTTTGTTGTTACTGGGACAAAGACTGAAGAAGGACTAAAACTCTTTGTTAATATTCAACAATAAGAAAAGCATCCTGGCAAGAGATCCCGTTAACCGTGAAAGTATCTGAAAGAACCTGTAGACCGCTTTACCTTGCTCATCAGAACAAAACCATGTACATTAACAGGCTTGCTAGCCACCGGCTAAATTAGCTCATGCCTTTGGTAAGGCTTGTTCAGGTGTCTCGACTTCTTTTTTGTTGTTACTTGAAGTCCAGGTTTGTGTCTGTTCAGCGTTCCACTGCATCTTGTCAATTCTAAATGTATTGAACCTAGGGAAGAGGCTACTTTACAAAAACTTGGGCACATGTTCTTGGTAGAAAACCAAACTCTCACTGAATAACAGAAATAGAGCCTTTATTCCAAGATGCTGGCGGTTGCCGTTTGAACCATCTGTCCTTAAAGTGTGTGATCCAGATGTATAATAAGAATTTTTTAAAGCAGTAAGATGTCACAGTTTTCTATAATGAGATATGCCCAGAATAAACCATGGTAGTGTATAAACCATTCTAAATGTAGTTATTTCTTTTAAATTGTAGAAAACATAGAAGCAGAGGCCTTTGTATTGTGTTTTTGCTGCTTTATGTAAATGGTTTGTAAGTTTTTATGTTTCATAAATACTCAAGTCTTTATAATATGGCAGTCTGGCGAGAAATGTCAGAATGTATGAAGTCAGCCTTTGATCAGGTAGTAAAATGAATTCTATCAGGCGATTACTTAATCTCAAACAAAATGCAACATCAAAAAATCGATTTAATGTGCAGCGATTGTTTATTAAGTAACCTTAATTACAATTTCTATGTGCTTGTAAATGTACTTTTCCAAATCTCGTAATTTATTTCTGTAAAAGCATCCTTAGAATTCTTTAAAGAAATAAAATGTGAAAATTGTTTTAGTTAAAGGATTTAAAGGTGATAAAAGAATCCTTGATGTGTGATTATTTTTCTCCGGAATACTAACTATTCTAAATGACAGTTAAAGGATTACTAGGTGTTGTTAATTTACTGCAAGAGACAATTAAGAGGAGAAAGCTCATCCTCATACTGATCGTTTTAGAGGAAAAGTATTTGAACGATTTTTATGTTGAAGATTATAAGATGTTTGAAGTCATTTACATTAAGTTCTCCCATAATAGCCATCCACCAAGTTATTTTTCCCCCTTCTGGACATAGTATTTTGTAATTAAGTTCGTATGTCTTACATGCTAGTGCCAACACCTGTCGGTGAGAGCGCAGTGTTTAAACAGGACCAGTAGCCAGTTGAAAGGGCAGTGCGAGCTCTTTACGGCCTAATTAAGGACTGAAAGGGAGATGAAGGGAGTAGGACAAAAGATGTGAAAGTAGCTGAGATGATATTCCCAGAGCAAAGTTCCTCATTAGAACAATAATGAGATGGTCACAGAATGCCAGGCCTTCATTTTATCTCTCTCTCCCCTCCAGTTGCCTTGGATGTCAGTTAGTACCCCACCAATATTTGGTTACCAGGACAACCTTTCTTTAAATCTTCAGTTATTTTGAGTCCCGATAATTTGCTTTTGTTCCAATTTAAATATTGTAAAAAACATATCCATTTCCTGATGTAAGAGGCTAGGCTGTGTATAAAGTAACAACAGATCCCTGGTCGCGCTCAAAGGCCCCTGCACAGCTGTGTTGTTTAAAGTTCTGATTAGAGAACTTCATGTCATAATTCCATATTCTCTCCCTAATTTCTTGTACCTGCGTATGAAAATTTTTAACAGAGGTTGGGTGTGATTGAAAAAGGGTTGGTTGTGAAAGGGGAAGAGAGAAGAAAGATTTATATCACGTTCCAGTGTGAAAAGACACCTTAAAAACACATGTGCTATGGAAAAGGCTGCAGGGAAGAGCGCTGAGGACTTAGGGACCACTGTAGGTTGAGTCTTTACCAGTGTGGAAATTTCTCAGTTTTAGAAGTTTTTCCAGTAATAGTATTAAAAAATATTTTTTGAAAAAAATCAATTTTTATGTTTGCCTGAGAGTTTCCCTCTTTAAGCAAAATAATTTTTTGTGACCAGAAAATGTTTGAGTTTCCTGTTGTATATATTAATTGATATTACTCTTTATTATTTTATTTAGAATTATATCAGTAAACAAGGATAGATGTTTATCAATCTGAGAATCTCTTGCCTAATATTAAAAGGTTTACATGATTTTCAAATACAGGATAAAATCTGGAACTAAGCATAAAATTGTTTTTAATTACATTATATTCTTTTTTAGAATTTAGTTTATAGTATATGTATTTCTAAGATGTTTTTCTGCCTAGAAACTTCATGCAGAAATTTGGGGTAAAATTTTTACATAAAAGAACAAATGGAAAATGTATTGAAAAGGTCAGAAATGTATTTTCAGGAAATCTGTCTATAGTAGTGTAGACGTAATATTACTGATGTCTAATACATAAGTATTAGACAGTTGTAGGGGAAAAATAAGCCAAAGAGTGGATCTGTGTTTTTCAAATTGTGACTGTAAAGTGTCAAACAATATTCCAGGATAATGATTATTTTCAGATTAAATTGTTCAACTGATTTATATCATGGCATGAAATTTAGACTATGTCAAAATAAGATTTTTTTGACATCTTCCTTCCTCATTGTCTTTAGAGAAATGTTAAGGTTTTTTTTAGCTGTGTTATCTGGTAGTGCTGGTGTGCAGTGCTAAAGTGATTTTCTGTGCTCACTGCGGACTTAGTTTGGAGAAGTCAGTTTATATATGTATAATTTAATTAAGATTAGTGAGACTCATACATGCTATTCTTACGTCAAATGAGGAGAAAAACATAAAAGTCAACCAGTCAGTAATGAATCCCATTTACTCTAATGTCAGTAATTCCTGCAATTTTCGTAAGAATTCCTATTTTTCATTAAATGTTTTATTAGAAAAATGAAACCGCATCAGTTGGATGGTGCCACTTTTATAAAATGCAGTTGAGAAAACTTGGTGCATAGACCAGGAGATATTAGAGATAAAAGGGACCTTGGAGACTATCTCATTTATCAAATAAGGAAAGCGAGGCCTAGGTTGGTTTCTGTCTTGGACTTGTGCAGAATCACTCAGGTTAAAGTGAGACACATTAGCTTATTTTTAATAAATTAAAAAAATATACTTACCTGTATTGTATGTCTTGTCTTCTATAGAAACCTGCTTAATATAATATTTATACAGAGTGGAGGGGAATGAAGGGGGGAATAGAACAACTGTGATGGCATAATTAATAAAATATATTTTTAAAAAAGAATATTTAGAATAGATATTTAGAATATATTCTTATATTTAGAATAAATATAAGAATAATAAGAATGCGGTTAGGGAATTATAATAATGTCTATATCCCCAAACTACTCATGACCAATTAAACACACGGAGAGTATGGGTGCTGAGAATTAATCTCTAAAAGGATTAGTTGATCCAAGAGGGAAGAGAGCAGAGAGTGAATCCACACTGTGTCCAGGGTCTTCCTTCCAGTGCTGCAGAGCGACAGACACTCTGAAATGTTTTTAGGGACAGAGGTAGTGCATAAGGTTGTATCCATTCCCAGTTTCCAATGCTGAAACCAAGTAAGTTCTTACAAATGCACATCACAGAATTTAAACCCACTTCCTTTAGCGTTCTCTGTCTTCATTCGTTGATCTGGTGGAGGGTCTTATTAAGTCTCCTCTGCAATGTTCCAACAGCTTTATAACTAATCTCAGTCCCTCCAAATGATCTTACCCACTGCTGCCATTTTAATTTTCCTAAAACTTAGCTTTAATCATTTCCTTCTTGTCTTTGGACACCTTCAATGCCCTCCTTTTTCCCACAGCAGTAAGTCTACAGGTCCTTAGTAATGGCATTGAACATCCTTGATGGTCTGCCTGGAACCCACCGTTTCAGCCTTTCTCTGCTCCCTGCCCTGAACCTTAGTTTCCAGCCACGCTCCGCTGATGACCTGTGTGATCACTGTGCCTGAAACCTCGTTTCTTCCTTTGAACACGCGGAGCCGACCGTTTGAGATGCCCATGAAACGTTTCTGCCTGGTGCGAGCAGTGGCTTCTCCACCAAACCCGAGAGATCCTATGGGGGTGGAAAGGTTTCTCCACCCTGAATTTTTTTCATTGTCCTGGAGAAGACAGTGTGGTCTGATAACCCGAGCAACACCTTGTCTGTGCCGGCAAAGCCGTGCGTGGTGCCTGGGGCAGGAGAGGACAAGAGTTACACCTTGGGTTTACTAGTGAAAACTTCTGGACACATAGCAGATTAACGTAGACCCTGAAAATGGGTAAAGACACATTTAATTCCTATTTTTAAAAAAAGGAAGAAAAATGGCCTTTCTGCATTTATTGGTTCTTGTTCTCCATCCCCACTGTTTACAGTACATACTTTTAATCTGAAAGAGTAAGAGCAATTTCCGCAGTATTTTAGTTTATTTTTCTTAAAGCCAAATGGAAATGTTTTGAAGGAAAGTGATGAAAACCATTTTAAGTTGTTGAGTTTAGTAATAGAACTGCATAAGAAAAGGCATTAAAATGCTATTTTATATTTGGCCATTATATTTTACATAATGGAAAACCTAATTACTGTACACTGTAAACAGATGTCATTATTTTTAGTACATTCCTGAAAAATATATTTTTATTGTTAAAATGTTGTGTAATGAACACGAATTAAATCAGTGCCTTTTTTGTTCTTTTTTGTTTATATTTACGTTTATGTAAACAGAATTTTCATCCATAGAATAAATTTTACAAAATAAGTCAATAGTGACATGGAAGACAATGTAGATAATATACTAATCCTAAATATCAGCATTATCACAGTTGAACTCTGAGTTTCCTGATAACCAGGGCAAAAAGGGAAATAAGACAAAATATATAGGCATTAGTACTATGAGGAGGAAATGAACTAGCTACTCGAGGGAGAAAAAGCTGTTTGCCCCTAAATTAAAGCAGGAGTTCCTTGAATGGGAGCTTCTTATAAGGAAGCCTGTTGCTTCAAGTCTGAGTGCCTTCAGCATTTCATAGCGAGAAGCAGGTTTGGTATTGCCGCTTCTGGTAACCTTCTCCAGTCAAAAGGGGTAACGTTAAATGACAGTTCAATGGAAGTGATTTCATGAGAACGATATCCAAATGTGTAGTTTTCAGTAGCTTTCTATAGTTCCTCCAAGTTCATTCTCAGAGATCTTTAGGGGTGTTTTAGTTATATTTATTATAGAACATTGTATCTTAAATCTTAAGTTATATGTCAATTCCTTGTTTTAGGAAGTTGTCCGCATTCTAAGAAAGGATTGTAGGAGAGTTCAGAGTTATAATAAAGAGTTGGGTGCGTCTGACCGAGTGCCGGCCTCAGCACGGACCAACCGTCCAAGGATAGAGGGGACACTTGACCAGGGCTTGAAAAACCAAAAGTTGAAGTTCAGAGTGATTCCGATTTTGTTCCTGGCACTGTATCTACTAAAGTGACACTCTGTGTGTGTGTCCTGTTCTAGGACAGCAACCCTTTCGATGCCACTGCGGGGTACCGCAGCCTGACCTATGAGGAGGTGCTCCAGGAGCTCGTGAAGCACAAAGAGCTGCTGAGGAGGAAGGACACCCACATCCGGGAACTCGAGGACTACATCGACAACCTCCTGGTGAGGGTGATGGAGGAGACGCCCAGTATTCTCCGGGTGCCCTACGAACCATCCAGGAAGGCCGGCAAGTTCTCCAACAGTTAAAGAGCCAGTTGTACCCTGCTTACAGTTAGAGGGGAAAGAAGGGAAGAAAGAGAAAGAAAGCAAAGGACAGGGAAAAAAAGAAAGAAAGACTTGTTACCAAAAGGGACTACGCTTCCAGATTTCATCACATGCTCTTCTCCATTGTGAAAAGGTGTTTTACCTGCAAATACCAGCAGGGACTATCAAGAGAGACCTTTGAAGTGAGCTATGTAATTTAAACTTTTAAAGTTTAAAAGTGAAAATGGGCCAGCTTCTCGATCAGTAAGCAGTTCCTAGGACTCCCTTAGGTGCTGGAGCCAGCCTGTGTCTCCCCCATAGGCCTAGGAATGTCTTCAAAGGTACATGAATTATTCCTCAGGAATATATTTCTCATCAGTTGATATGTGGCAATTGATACTGTGGTTGGTTTCCCAGCATTCAGTTTGTTGACAGTTTAGCTGCAGGAATACTGCTCATTATAAACACTACTTTAAAAAAAAACTTCATGTTTTATATACACATATACGTACATGAATATAAGCTTACGTATATTCGTATATAAAATACGTGGATATACCTCACATATACATGTGTTTTTAGGACACTTAAGAACAACTGGTTGCCTCTCAAATTAGGATGCCAGTTCTGAACTTGAAATCGTGCGTGCGTGGTTGACGCACAGCAGACCCCCATCACTACGACAGTATTATGGTTGGTGCCAGGGAGGTTGCTTCAGTCACTCCAGACGCCGTGAACCTTGGTTTTGAAATGGGCTGCTGCTCTGGCCACTCCTGCATCAGATGTTTGCTCTTCCTCCAAAAGTAACGCTCCAAAAGTCCTTTTTTAACTTTACTAACTTCACAGCAGCATGGATTTCTTGAATTCATTTTTTATCTTAACATTTGAGTTTTCTCGAAGCTCTAAGCAGAAGATAAGCTAATGTAATTTGTTTTGTTGAGATTCTGAATGCCTATAAATCACTCGCAAAGAAAATATTAAGAAGTTCAAGCTGAAGATAATTTGGTGGGGGAGTAGGTGATCGTCTGATGCCTGATAATCCAAAGCAGTGGGCAAACTCTGGGAATAAAGCATTAGGCTCGGTTTCCAGTTACATAAATAATAGAACAGATGGTTGCATTTGGGTCTTGAACCAAAATACCAGTCACTAAAGGAGGACTGAGCTTGCAGGCGAGATCTGGACTAGCATGAGGTTACACATTATTCCTCACCGACCCTTTTAAGAACTGATTTATCACAAAATTATGTGTTGGCTTTTAAAAATCAGTCTGCAGCCCCCCAAAATGTTGATTGCCTCTATGAGTTATCTTTATATATTTGTACAAAATTAGTCTGAAATTTAGAGTGAAAAACACTGGTTATAAAAACATTACTAATTACTACTTTTTACCTTAAAAATCTAAAATACTTGCCATGAAACAGCGAATCTGTCTTTTCTGAACTTAAAATGAAAACATTCCTGTATGTGGAGACATGTATTTCTCAGTCTTTTAATGAAGTGTATTTTTGTCTAATACGTGTCCCTACTAAGACTTCGTTGAAAGTTAAATACAAAGCAGATACCAGAGTTTTGCTCATTTTAATGGTTTGAATTGTATAATAGTTGGTAAGCTTATATTCAGTGTATAAGCTAAAATCCCTTGTTACTTATATTTTCTGAGTTTTTTTTAGTTTTCCTGTATGTAAGAGCGTACATTTTGAAATTATGAAAATTTTCCCCAAATACAAAACTAATTTTTTGAAATGAAGAAACGAAGAAGGAAAAACAGCTTTACCAACTTTCCCTTCTTACGTGTTTCTCTAATAAACCTCCGAGTCTGGTGTAGAGTTTTATTTTCCCATTTGAAGTCTTAATTACTTTTTTAAATGGTGCCATTTTTAACATTTATTAAATATGAAAAAATTCTTAGCATTTATTTTTTCTGTTGTTAGTATGATTGAAGCTTGTTTTATACTTTTTTAAAAAAAATACCAAAATCCATGTGTTTTTAGTAGGATGACAGATTATTTGCAGAGATTTTAATATGCTTTGGCCAAATTTTCTCTTTATAGAATGAACCGGGATGTTGGTTTTGTGTTGGGGGTATGTTTTATGTGAAAGAGCTCATTAAAAAGTATGGTTCAAGTAACTGCTGTTCTTTTTATGAGGAAATTCATTTTTAAGGAGACATTCTTTGCTTATATAAAAATTGTTAAGAATGAGACTTATCCACATGTGAGCAATTTAGTTATAAGTGACCCAATAGTTGTATCTTTAAATCTGAGACAAGAATTATATTGAAAATGCAATCTGCATTTATCACTGCCTAAAAATGTTCTATTTGGATGTTTACGAAGTTTCACTCATGACCTAGAAGACAACGTATTATATATATTTTCGTAGTTTGTGAATGTAAGAAACTGAAAACCAGGATGTGAAAATCAGTCAGCTCCCCAGTAAACATATCAGTGTTTCCTGCGTTTGGGCAGAAGTGCAAACAGAGTATTTTTATTTCCTAACATCCCAGAAGAGACGACAGAAAGGTCACTTTAGTTTGTTTTTCCAAAATGTAACTTTTAAGTATTAATGGCGTATTTTGTTAGTAGCTTAGAAATGCAAATAAAATATAGGTACTCATTAAATAATGCACAGCACTATAGGCTTATAAATGGATTTTATTTATGCTTAGAAATGCATGCTCAAAAATACTTTCACACCAGTAAGAGGATTTTTTTTTTTAAATCACAGAATTGATGCTTATCTCAAACCTAAGTTAATATACTTCTGTTATTAAAGTATTTCTATTATTTTACAACCAGTTTCCGTCCCAGCTTTGAAATTCAGTTTTGAAAGTACTGAACATACTATATACTGTTTTTCCACCGAGGCTTCCATTTCATTTGCTGACTCCCAGGGTCCTGTCTCAGCATTGTACATAGAGTGACGCGTCCCCATTCATGAGAAACGCTCACGTGTTGCTTTTGGCTGCTGTGTTCTGCGTTGAGCCTGGTTCTGCCATGCCCCCACGAATGTAGTGTTATCCATAGATTATACATAACCACGTCTATTGCTTTTGGCAGCAAATGAAGATGTCGTTGTAATTTTCCAGCTGTGAAAATGTTGCCTTGTATTTAAAAGGGTTTCATGGCTGGAAACCTCAGTAAAACGCAGCTCATTAGTGACAGCCCTGCCTGCCTCCCCCCCCCCCCCCCCCCCCCCGTCCACCACCCCCACCAGGGTGCTTGTTCTTTAGCAAGGAGAATGTGAGAAGAAAAGGACTGTCTTCAATATATCTAGTACCTGTTACACTAGAGCTTTTATTTGCCTCTGGAGCTTTCCAGGAAAAGCTACCTACCTTGGATGTGTAAGCGGAGCTGAAACTTTGATGTCCGTGCACTCACGTGTCTCATCCATGTGCTAGGTGTCACTGGGGCGTGTGTAAGTGAACGTGGAGCATGCTCGACCTCTTTGAAGTGGGAGGTGAAGGATCGCAGCGCCGCTGGTTGGGGAGGTAGATGCGGGGGTCTGTCAGCACACAGTGGAGGGCCCCCATTCTCACAGATTTTTAACTTCGCTAATCCACACACAGTTATTGGAAGTATTTAATATGCAATAGGTAGCACCTTAACTAATTAACCTGCATCTGAAGGGTTTTCTGTTGTGTTTAATAAGCAGTGTAGCAACTCTCCAAGCAGTAAGCTAGAGTTGTTGTTTTATTTCATTTCTATGCCAAAAACCCACCTTTACCATGGAATCGAAGTCTGTAACAAATGATCCATTGGGCCTGTTAATCTTTGAAGCTCCCAGATGGTTTGTATTTCCAGGTACAAAAAAATGCTGCAGATCTAGAAATGTATATATATTTAGCAGGTATTTGAAAGATACAAGCATTATTTATAACGGAAGAGTATTACACTTAAGTAAAATGCTCTAGTAACTTGTATACGTTTTTGCAGGTACAAACTCAAAAGTATGTAAGCATTGCATAATGTGACAATTATATAATTTATGTACTCTGATGCATGAATCAGACTTTTTATATAATATATATTGATTTATTATAGTTGATTAAAGTGTTTAATCTTAACTCAGTTGTCTGATTTCTTACTGCAGATAAAACACTGTGGCATATGCACTTACACATGAGTCCTCCTTGTCTTTTAAAAACACTGGCGATGCCTCTTGTTTGATGCATTGCAGCAGGTGTTCTGTAAGATCTACAAACTCCTTCACTGTGAAAAGAGTTCTGAAAACTCATTGAGAGGCGAATGTCTAAGTACCTTAGAGTGGATATTCTGCAGCAGTAGTGTGAATGCCCTCTGTATAAGACATCCCCTCGTAGGGATGGAACTATGGTTTGGTAGAGAATAACAAGTGAGTATTTATGTAAGGCCTGTGCCCAGTGTTCTTTCAACACAGCATCCTTGCACACCCCTGTCCATCCAAGGCGAGCGGGAATCTCAGGATCTGGGAAGGGGGCGGGAGGGGGGCTGGTTATGGCAGTGTATTAAGCAGTTGTATTCTCTGTTCTGAGATGCGATCCATACATAGCGGTCTTGGGCATTAGTCATACACATTTGGAGCAAGAGATTTCTCTGCAGGCCAGAACGCCTTCCTAGCCCTCCAGTTGCTCTCAGTTCTGGAGGACCCATTTAACTTAATCCTTCACTTGCCCCAGCACACTTCTGGATTATTCCCCTTCCTACCTATTCCTGGTGCACACACTTATTTTTCCTTGGTCTACTGAGACAAAGGTATTTTGGAGTAATTTGGAAGTAGAGAATTATTACTCAAGCAAAGTAGCTATTTTTCATGTAGGTTTTGTTTTAGCGCCTGTCCCAGAAATGTTTCTGTTCAGTTTTTCAAAGCAGTGGGCTCATTTATGGCCTGAATGCCCAGCATTCTACATTCTGCCCCCCACCCCATAATTTCACATGATAACACAAATGTCATACTTTCACATTGTTATGACAGGCAGAGTTAATACTTACAAGCACCATCTTTATATGCCTATAATTACGTGGACTAGAAGTATTTGATTCTCTCTGACACCCTTACAGCCTACAACTCGATTCTGAAATTGACAGTGGTTTCATCATTGGTGAGGCATATTCAAAAGTCAGAATTTATGCTGGGAAGCACGAAAGCACATTTCTCTCCATCAGGGCTTTTCAGTTACGGTGTGTCCTGGACACATGTCATAGGGTCCAGTTTGTTTGAACACTGGTATCAAAGTTTGCAAATGATTTACTTAATACATGAAAACAGTAAGATTGTCACTATCACAACATCACATTGTATTGTGCGCTGGTGAGTGATATGAAAGTGTGAGAGATGGACACCACGGGGTATTTGCAATTCCCAGCAAATCTTAATTGTGCTGCAACCTTGGAGCAGGGATTGCAAACTCCGATGCGTACAGGGCCAGGCAGGTGACGGTGGATATGAAGACAGGCCGGGTGTGGCAGAGGAGGGGCTCCTGGGGACAGTGGCAACTTGGGGAGCCCATTTTGCTCACTAAGAGTGGGCAGCAGCCGTGTGGCCACATGGAAGTGAAGGCCAGGCCAGGGCTACTCAACGTGATCTTTCTGGAGAAACTGAAACTACAGATACTTATGTGAAATATGATTTCCAAATGTGAGCCGCTAATTCTCGATTTTCTTTTTTAACAAAAAATCTGAGGGCCACCAGTTCCCAATCCCGTCTTCAGCGAGTCCCTGGTGCTGAGGTGCCGTCTCGCATCCTCTCCTCGACTTCATGGTAAGGACAGTTCAGAGCGGGGTGGTGGTTTACCTCCCCCACAGATGATTGTATGTTTATTCAAAGACTGGCTTGGTCAAGGGGCACATGGGGGGCGGGGCGGGTGTGCTGTGTAAGACAGAAGCCCAGCCCAGACCTTGCTTGTGGGAGGGAAGGAGGAATAACTGTTCAGTGGGTGTGAAGCTTTGGCTACACGAGATGACAGAGTCCCGAGGTCCCCCATACAACATCGTGCCTGTAATCCACAATACCGTATCGCACATTTAAAATTGTGTTAGGACTGTAGATCTCAGGTTAAATGTTCTTACTACAATTAAGGAAAAAAGAAGACTTTCTCCCATGTGCCCGCCCCTGAGCGTGACTGTGAAGGTGCTGTCAGGAGGGAGAGCTGTACAGGTAGGTAATCTGCACTCCATTGTGTATGTGTGTGTGTGTTGTGTGTGTGTGTCCCGCTCCAGGTAGGTAATCTGCACTCCAGTGTTAATGTGTGTGTGTGTTGTGTGTGTGTGTGTCTCACTCCAGGTAGGTAACCTGCACTCCAGTGTGTGTGTGTGTGCGTGTGTGTGTTTGTTGTGTGTGTGTGTGTGTCCCACTCCAGTGGTTAGAGTCCTCGAGTGTTACCCCGGGATGTGTCGGCTATCTTTCTGTGGTGAGCGTGAGTTTTCAACATTTATGATGGTCTTGCATCTCGGTAAAAGTTGTACGAAAACCGCTAGCATCCCCAAAGATCAGATGAGCTCGTGATACCAGTGCTGTGCTCTGTGGAGGTCAGATCGTGTGTGTTGTATGGTCATTTCCAGTACTCTAAGGTGTGTGTGTTTTCATAAGGTTTGTAGGTTGTGAAATAATGGTTTTCACTTAAAATATAGTGGCCAGTGATTCTGAAGTTTGATTTTATACATTAGCCATTTAAAATCCCACCGTACTTTTTGACTTGAGCCAGACGAAGAAGGGTGGATGCTTTAGACCCCTGGTTGGCCAGTGCTGCTTCAAACAACAATGTGGGTGGGACTTGTGAGAATGCAGATCCCCAGGCCCTGTCCCACAGCCAAGAAGTCAGAAACTTGGGGGTCGGACCGACAGAGCCCTGTGAACAAGCCCCCCAGGTGTGTCAAATGCATATTTGAGAACCACTGAAATAGAGACCACTCCCGTTTTTCTCTTGGCTCAATGTAGTTTATAGGATTTTTTTTTTACTTGACGTAACTTTCCTTGTTTTTTTCAATTTCTTAATGCATATTTTGTATTTTAGAGAAACTTAATCTCCATGAATAGACTTCACAGAGGTAGCATGTTCCTAAGCTACGTACCCTGCACTGTACAGAGTGGACGCAGACGTACAGAGTGCCGATTCATTCACGTGGTGGGTTTTGTTTGTGCAGCAGGGTTTGCTGGCGTGACCCAGAAGGGAAAACTGTATGGCTTTAATGTAAAACTGCAGGATGTCTTCTTTTGCTCGACCTTGGCTGTGCCTCGTTGGCCGAAGGAGGGCATCTCTTCCAGCCTCCCAGAGGCCTTTTGCTGAGGCCACAGACAACAGTGTAGAAGAGGGGAGAGAGCCAGTGTGGCCAGGCATGGAATGTGGGAGAAGTTGGGTCATGAGCCAGCCTCAGTATGACAAAGCCAACCTGTGACTGTAGGCGGGAGGTTTTACTTAACAGGCACTCCGTAACTTTGCTAGCTGCAGTCGTTTTGGCAAACAGTTCATCAAAGGTTTACATTCTTTTCACAAAAAATACTGAGCCGAGCCCTCATTTCTAGGGAAATCTAGAATGAAATTTCAAACTCTTGCCTGATCTTGCACAAGTAGTAGAAACACCCGATGATTAGGAAAAGGTCACTCCACGGTAGGTTAAGTAACATTTCAAACAAGCGTGGCGGGACAGAACGTCCACCAGAATATTTAACGGCTTTTAGTCCTCAGTAGAGTCATGGTGAGAACCTGAACAGCGTAAAATGGATCCAAAGACATCTGAACACTGGCGAGAGTTGTTGGGTTTGGGTTTTTTAAATTTTTTTTTGTTTTAATCATCATGCAAACCCCCAGTAAACATCAGCAGCCAGCATTAGCCCCTCATGAGAGGAGCTGGTCACCAGATCCTCAAAGTCGCAGCGGATTCAGAATCCGCAACTCGAATTATGTGGTTTCAACCTCTTTCAGCAAAGTTTTGCTCGAGTCTAGAGAGTAACAAAATTGGCTTCCGAATTTCCTCTCCTGTCCTAGTGATGGAGGTGTTAATTGGGGGTGTGGGAGGGGGGAAGAGCGGCAGAGAAAGCCCCTGGAGTTAGTTGGCCAGGCCCACAGGTGAACTCGCTGCCACCCTCGGACTGAGTCAGGTGCTCGGAGACCATACAGGATGAGCGCCTCTCGTAGGAAAGAATTTGTTTTTCATAAACCATTCACAGGTCCTATGGCACATTGCATGTTTTTATGTTTACATTAAAAGGTTTTTTTTTTAAGTAATGTACTGTTATTGAACATCTTTCATGATTTATAAGCTGTAAAATATTTTAATCCTTGACTCATTTGTTTACCAAGCTATTCACTTAATGCTATGTAGTATGTAGCACTTGAGGCCATCTGTTAGGAATATTTGAATAATATGCACACTGCGAAGATATGTACAGCAAATAAAGCTCAAAACACATGAAATATTCAGAAAGAGTTTGTGAAGACAATCCATGTATTTTAATTTAAAAAAGATGTGGTCTGAAATCGAGCCGTCTTCTCCAAAAACGAAGCTCTCTTCTTGCAGATCCCTGTGCCGAGATGGCATTAAGGTATCATTTTGGCTTGAAGTGTCTAGACTTGAAATTATTGGAATTGATACTAATTAGAACTGCGCTTCTTCGAGCTCTTCCGTGAGTGTGGGAAGTTCCTGCAGGGAGCCTCCAGGAGCAGCAGCGCCGTGTTCTGTGATGCAGGCCAGAGAAGGAGGCTGGGCCCAGGGCACCCCGGGGTCACCCCTGGAGGAAGGGTGCGGGGGAGCCTTGGGGTCACTCTGCCAGTCTGGAACACCTGTGAGCTGGGTGCTGGGACTCTCCTGTGGGATGCCTCAAAGGGTACTCAGTCCTGCTGGAGCATGAGGCTTTTTGTTTTCTTTTATGGGGGAGGTTGGCCTCGTGTGTGAATCCCCCACAGCAAGGGACCTTCATGTGAACCATTGAAAACTGAGGTGTTCTAAGGCACTCGGTCTCTTGGGGACGCCTGGATGCTTAGACCTTATAGCCAAGGTCACACCACGTGATGAGCTAGAGCCGAGACAC